CCTGATGTTTAGATTGTGTGTGTGTGTTGTGGGGCCTGAACTCTGGGCCTGGGCGCTGTCCTTCAGCTCAAGGCTAGCGCTCTACCACTTGAGCCACAGCTCCACTTCCGGCTTTTGTCATTTTGCTTATGTGGTGCTGAGGAATCCAACCTAGGGCCTCCTGCGTTGAAGGCAAGCACTCTACCACTGAGCCACTTTCCCAGCCCCTTATGTTTAGATTTTTAAAATGTAGTATAGTATCTGAGGCCTCTTCCCCCCAGTCTCCCTCCAGTTCCCCTAGAATTTGAATTCAGAGACTGATGCTGTTAGCCAGATGTTCTGCCACTAAGCCACACCCCAGTTCTTTTTCCTTCAGTTATTAGTAGTATTAGTATTATTATTTAATAAGATGTTAAAATTTTTTGCCTGGGGCTACCCTGGGACTGTGATCTTTCCAAGGCCTTTTTATCTGGGATGACTGGCATATACTACTATGCCTAACTTCTTGGTTGAGATGGCCAAAATATTAGATTAAAAATTTTTTTTTTCTGTCATGGGACTTGAACTCTGGGCATGGGCACTGTCCCTGAGCTCTTTTTGCTCAAGGCTAGCGCTCTACCACTTGAGCCACAGCACCATTTCAGGCCTTTTCTGTTTATGTGGAACTAAGGAATCAGACCAGGGCTTCATGCATGCTAGGCAAGCACTGTACCACTGAGTTACATTCCCAGCGCGGGCCCTATACTCTTGTTGGCTTTTTTGCTCAAGGATAGTGCTCTACCACTTGAGCCACAATTCCACTTCCAAATGTTGCCTTTTTTTTATTGTTTTGTAATTTTTTTGTAATTTTTTATTATTTTTATAAATTAAAAACATTCTATTTATATAAATTTTTTGATTTTAGTGATTTCCTTATATATCCTGATATCAACTCCTCTTATATGTGTGCTTTACAAGTATTTTCTACCATTCTGTATTGCTGTCTCTGTACTGTTGATTGTTTTCTGTGTAGAAGTGTTTTATGTTTTTACCCATTTGTAATATTGCTTTCATTACTATTTTTGCTTTCATTTCTTATTGTTTTGGGGTCTTATCTAAAAGAAAAATCTTTGCTGATTCCATTTTGTTGAAATATTTCCCTTTTGTTTTCTTCTAGTACTTCCATAGTTTCAGGTTTAAAGTTGATAATTCTTTTTTTTTTTCCTGGACCTAGGGCTTCAACTCAGGGCCTGGGCTTTGTTCCTGAGCCTCTCTGTGCTCAAGGCTAGCCCTCTACTACTTGAGCGCCACTTCGGCCTTTTCTGTTTATGTGGTACTAAAGAATGGAACCCAGGGCTTCATGCATGCTAGGCAAGCACTCTACCACTAAACCACATTTCCAGCCCCCCCCCTCCCTTTTTTTTTTTGCTGGTCTTCAGGCTTGAACTCAGGGCCTTGGTGCTGTTTTTTTTTGGTAATTCAATGCAGAGTTTCACAGACTTCCCTGTCTCTGCTGGCTTCTAGCCACTATCCTTAATTCTTTTTTTTTTTGGGGGGGGGTCCAGTCGTGGGGCCTGAACTCTGGGCCTGGGTGCTGTCCCTCGGCTCTTCCTCAGCCATTTCTGGCTCTTTTTCTTTTTGCTTATGTGGTGCTGGGGAATCGAACCCAGGGCTTTGAGCATGCAAGGCAAGCGCTCTACCACTGAGCCACCTTCCCAGCCCCACTATCTTTAATTCTTAATATCCTGAATAGATTACAGGCATGAGCACTGGTACCCAGCATGTAATCTATTTTAAATTGCATTTGGATATATAATATGAAAGTCAGTATGCAACATTTTAGCTTTCCACAAGAATTCTGAAGTCCTAGTTTCTCCAAATCCTGGATGACACTTAACTACTTCTTATTTTCCTGGTATTAGCTGTCCTAATTGGTATGAACTATTACCACATTGTGATTTTGAGTTAAAGTTCCTAATTATGATTATTATTTCCGCCTGGAACTTACTAGATAGCTGGAGCTAGCCTTGAACTCAAGATCCTTGTGCTTCAGTTTGCCAAGTGCTGAGATTAAAGGCCTGTGCTACCACTCTTGGTTCTTCTCCTTCCCTTCCTTTTTTCCTTCGTTTTTGTGACGGTGGCTTTGGTGTTTGAATTCAGAGCTTTCATGCTTGCCAGGCAGGTACTCTACCACTTGAGCCACACCTCATCCCTCACTTCATCACTTTCTTGGTAGTATCTCTTTGATGCCCAAACAATCCAAATTTGAGAAAATTTGGCTTACCTTTTTTTTTTAAACATTTTTTATTATGAAAATACTGTATAGAGTAGTTACAATTACATGGACAAGATAATGAGTACATTTCTTATCAAGCATTGTTGTTTCCCCTTCCTATCCCTGCCCATATCCCATCCCTCCTCCCACTCATATCCCCCTCCCCCTTCCCTTGGCTTACCTTTTGCTTAATGATCTGATGTTTAGTAACAATCTTGTTGCCCTTAGTTAATTGACCATATAATGACATTTGATTGAACAACTTTGACTAGTAATTTTAACTCCTCTCTCCTGCCCCCCTCCCATTCCCCATGAGTTGGTCATACTTATTTCTTTGGGTACCTTGTGCCTTTTGGTTGAGATGGGGATATTCTAAGTAATGTGTATTAGCAGTGGGATTGTGATTCTTGTGCTTGGATGTTTTTGCTTATTGCTGGCTGTAAGCATTTCTTTCCTACACTATGGTTTTTGTTTTTGTTTTTGGTTAGTCCTGGGGCTTGGGTGCTGTCCCTGAGTTCTTCAGCTCAAGGCAAGTACTCTTACCACTTGAGCCACAGTGCCACTTCTGGTTTTCTGATTGTTAACTGAAGATAAGAGTCTTCCAGACTTTCCTGCCCAGGTTGGCTTTGAACCTCAATCCTCAGATCTCAGCCTTCTGAGTAGCTAGGATTATAGGCATGAGCCATGTTGCCTGGCTCCTACACTATGTTTTGCAAAGATTGTATTTGTTGTGTTTTATCACTATAGTTTGTTTCCATGAAATCTGTTGTTTGTAACCTAATGAAAAGAATTTACTGTATTCTCCAAAATCTCCCCCACCCCTAGCTGCACTCTTAAATCTTCATTTAGTTGTTATTTGGGGAAGTAGCTGTAGCCTGAGAAGCTCCAAATCAAGGCAGAATCTGCAGTGGGTCCTTCAAGAACTTTCAAGTCAGGCAGTATGCACAACTCCAAACAAGCCTGGCCCAGGGAATTGGGCCTCATTCTCCAGCACTGTCACATGGTGAAGGGTAGGATGGGAAGTTATTAGTTCAGGCTTCCCCCTTTCTAGACAGCCTTTCCCTTTGTCAACCACTCATTCTGTTGGCTTCAGAATTCAGAACTGATTGATTCTAGTCATACTTTTAATTTAGTGGTGGTGTCATCTGGCTTGATATCATTGGTCCTTTTTAAATTTTTTTTTTTTGGTTTCACAGTACGTGTGTGTGTGTGTGTGTGTGTGTGTGTTAATGTATGTGCAGGTCCTAGGACTTGAATTCAGGGTGTGTTGCTGTCCCTGAGCTTTTTTTTTACTCAAGGCTAGTAGCTCTGTACCCCTTGAGCCACAGCTCTACTCTGGAGCTTAATTGGAGATAAGAGTCTGATGGACTTTTCTACATAGGCTGGCTTTGAACCTCCATCCTCAGATCTGAGCCTTCTGAGTAGCTTGCATGACTGGTGTGTGGTACATTTTTTTGAGTTACAGTCCTAATGATTTAATTTCAATCTACTATAGAATACTAACTTTATGGAAAATGTTAGAAATATTTATAGTAATGTTGCTTTGATTCCCCATTTAAATATGTAATAAGTGCAACAAAAATAATCTGACTTTGTAGTTACATTAAGTATTGTAACTTTATAAGACTTTATCTGTTTTTTGTTTATTTAAGTCTGGGTTTCCATGTTTAACTCTAGATGGCCTCAAAATTAATGATCGTACCTTAGTGCTAGATTACAGCATGTACCACCATATATGTCTATAATTTTTATTTTTCAAAAAAGTTGGTAAATGAGAAATAAAACGTGTTATACCTGGTTATATTTTATTTTTTCTTTGAAATTCTGTGTTTGTTAGAACCTTTGATATTATAAGACAGATCTGCTAACTTATTCTTATATCTGTAAATGTCTTCTCATTTGTAATGGTTGTATTAGTTATTTGCACCATTCCTTTTATAATTCTCTATACTTGGGTTTTCTTCTATAAAAGTATTTACAGTAGCATCTTTGAAGTCTTTAGTTGTTAAATGTGATATCTAAAGTGCTCATTTTCCATTTGTTTATTTTGTAATTAGAGGTAGTGTTTTGTTGCATGCCCTTTTTCATTTATTAGTGTACTTTTTTTTTTTTGGCCAGTTCTGGGGTTTGAACTCAGGGCCTGGGCTCTGTCCCTGAGCTTCTCTTGCTCAGGTTAGCACTCTATCACTTGACCCACAGTGCCACTTCCGGCTTTTTCTGTGTATGTGGTACTGAGGAATCCAACTGAGGGCTAGGGCTTCATGGGTGGTAGGCAAGCACTCTAATACTAAGCCATGTTCCCAGCCCTTAGTTTTCATTTTAAAGTAATGCAGTTGGTTTATATTGTGATCCTTTTCCCCCTTGAAAGACATTGTTGACTTGTATATTTTCTTTTTTTTTGGTTGGTCGTGGGGCTTGAACTTTGGGCCTGGGCTGTTCTTCAGCTCTTCAGCTCAAGGCGAGCGCTCTACCACTTGAGCCACAGCACCACTTCCCGTTTTCTGGTGGCTTATTGGAGATAAGAGTCTCATGGACTTTACTGCCTGGGCTGGCTTTGAACTGCGATCCTCAGATTTCAGCCTCCTGAGTAGCTAGGATTACAGGCGTGAGGCACCGGCACCCTGCGACTTGTTTATTTTCTAAGTCACCAGACTAAATTATATGAAATCTGTTTCTTTGCAATGTGCAGCTACAGATGTCTCTCACTTTCTATTTTCTGCCTGCCCTACTTAAGGCCTAAATGAAGTTTTCTCTACATGGATAGCTTATTAATCAACCAAATATCGATTGCTGTGTTCAAATACTTTTATTCTGTATGATTGTATCCAGGTGTGCCCTGGCCTTTTTTTTTTTTAATTAATTTTTTTGAAAATTTTTTTGGTCAGTAATGGGGCTTGATCTCTGGGCCTGGACGCTGCCCCTAAGCTCTTCAGCTCAAGGCAAGTGCTCTTCCACTTGAGCCACAGCGCCACTTCTGTTTTTTTGGTAGTTTATTGGAAATAAGGGTCATGAACTTTTCCTGCCCAGGCTGGCTTTGAATCACTATCCTCAGCTCTCATCCTCCTGAGTAGCTAGGATTACAGGTGTGAGCCACTGGTGCCTGGCTTGGCCTTTATTTTTTTGTTGTGATTTCACAGGTCTCTCTTGTATACAAGTGGAAGCTTAGTTACTTGGAGTGGCTTCCATTCTCTGGTTTTTGCTGTTCATGTACACAGCCTCTGATCAACATGGGTCAGGTATTGAGTTTACCAAATTTTCTCTTACTACTTGTAATTTTATGTCAAATCTCAGAAATTTCTAATACTTTACTTATCCCAGACCAGGATCCTCAGGTAGACCTTCTACATTGCCTCTCCCTGAAATCATCATGCGAAACTCTGAGAGCTGTTCAGATCAAGTGAGCTCCTTTGGAAGTAGTAGCAAAGCTACTAATTCCTATAGCTTACCTCACCCTGGTTGAATGACAGTTTTGTCCAGCTTTGAAGTTGTCTTTCAGGAAGTGAATTATCTTTCTTATTCTGTTATGCTTGATGTGTAGCTCCAAATATAATCTTATTATAAATACAGCAATGATTTTTAAAAAAATATTTTAGTGTTTGCTAAGTTTTCAGTTATTTTTCTGTAGCAGGTGAAGGATAGTTATTTCACTTACTTTCTTTTCCTTTTTAGTTCTTCAAAATTGAGCATATTAATTCAGTTATGTTACTATTGGGGATTAAGCCATGGGGATGTAGATCCTAATATAGTTAGTACGTTGATTTCCTCATCTGTAAGATTGTCACAGTAACAGCCTCTGTCTCAGGTTTTTGGTGACATTTAGATGAATTGATTAAGGCACTTAAATAGTGTCTTGTATATACTATGCGATAAATACTTCCATATACGTAGTTGTCTTTTTCTTTACTATATTGGTTTTTAGCTAAGATTGGGATAAATCACTTTGATAGCTTTCCTTATTTGGTTATCAAGTGTGATTTAATTGAATACAATTTTTAACTAAAAGAATTGTAGGTGACGTTTTGTCCATTTTCTCTGTATTTCTGTTTATGGAATATTACTCTTATACTGTAGGTGGTGAACTTCATTTTCTCCAAATTGGAGGAACCTGTGATGATATTGATGAAGCTGATATTCTAGTGGATGGATCTCTTTCTAAAGGAGCTGAACCATCTTCAGAAGGTTCCAAACCTTTATCAAATCCTTCAAGTCCTGGGATTTCAGGTATGATGATTTTTAATCTATTTTAAATGGTTTTGTACAAATGCACATTCTTGTTTTGATTTCTGAATCCAGTTGCTTTAGTGAATTGTTAATTGCTCTGTTGAGGAAGTACATTTCTTTCCTGTTAGTCTTTTATCAGGCTTGTTTTGTACTGCTACTACTACTTCTTTTTTATTTCTTTCCTTTTTTGGTCATGTGGCTTGAATCTCAGGACGTGGGCACTGTCCCAGAGCTCTTTACTCAAGGCTAGTTCTCTACCACTTGAGCCACAGCTCCAATTCTGGGTTTTTGGTAGAGTCTCATGGACTTTATGGCCCAGGCTGGCTTTGAGCCACAGTCTTCAGATTTCAGCCTCCTGTGTAGCTAGGATTGGAGGTATGAGCCACCAGTGTGCCTGGCTAGCTGTTTACTATTTCTTCATTGGTTATATGTTTTTTTTTTTTCCAGAGTGGTTAATAGAAATTTATTTAAAAATTGATTTTCTATTCCAGGACATGCAGACAGCCAGCTACCTGCAAATGAAAACATACTTTAAGCCACATTTCTTGAAGTTCAATTGTTTCAAGTTGAATTGTCCTTAAGAGAAAGCATTGGTTATATGTTTAACATTCTTCCTTATATCTAGCATTTTGTTTTGTAAATAAGAAATTACAAAAGTGTACTCACTGATCCAGTATATACTAATTTACATTTGAGTGTCACTGCATTTTTGCCCTTATTTAACTAACCCTAAAAGATTCTTTAAAGCTCAAAAAGCTTTCTTCTAAAAGACTGTGTTTATTCCCTAGAAGTGTTTATTCTCTCTAAAAATATTCAAGATGGAGTTTTCTTCTGTGCTATTATTTACCCAATGCTAATTACTTTATTATAGATATCTGAGCCCACTTTCAGCATATTCATTCATGTTGTGAATGAATATTAAATTTTTACTATGAATTAAAATTTCACCTCTTTTTTTTCTAAATCAACCTCAAATACTACATTCTCTAATATTCAGGCGTTGATTTATTGGTGGACCAGCCATTCACCCTTGAAATCTTGACATCTTTAGTAGAGCTAACTCGCTTTGAGACACTGACTCCACGGTTTTCAGCTACTGTTCCTCCATGCTGGGTAGAGGTTCAGCAAGAACAGCAGCAAAGGAGGCATCCTCAACACTTACATCAGCAACATCATGGAGATGCTGCTCAGCATACTAGAACTTGGAAACTACAGACTGACAGGTAAAAGGTTTTTCCAAGGTTTATTTTCCTTCCTTCCTTCCTTCCTTCCTTCCTTCCTTCCTTCCTTCCTTCCTTCCTTCCTTCCTTCCTTCCTTCCTCCCTCCCCTCCATCCCTTCCTCCCTCCCTGCCTCCCTCCCTCCCTGCCTCCCTCCCTCCCTTCCTGCGCTCCCTCCTTCCCTCTTTCTCACTTGCCCTCCTCTCTCTCTCTCTTTCTCTCTCTCCATCCTTTCCTTCCTTTCTCCCTCACCCCCCCTTCCCTTCCCTCCCTGTCCTCTTCCTCCCTCTCTCTCTTTCTCTCCTTACCTTCTCCCTCACCTCTTCTTTTTTGTCAAGCCTGGGGCTTGAACTCAGTGCCTGTGCATTGTCCTTGACCTTACTCAAGCCTAATGGTTTATCACTTGAGCCACAGGTACACCTCTGACTTTTTTGTTGGTCATGGGTGCTTGATCTCTGGGCCTGGGAGCTGCCCTTGAGCTCTTCAGTTCAAGGCTAGTGCTCTACCACTTGAGCCACAGTACCAATTGTGGTTTTCCGGTGGTTAATTGGAGATAAGGGTCTCATGGACTTCACTGCCCGGGCTGGCTTTGAATGGTGATCCTCAGATCTCAGCCTCCTGAGTAGCTAGGATTACAGGCATGAGTCATCAGCGCCCAGCCTTACTTTCTTTTGTAATTATTTTTTAAATTATTCTTATAAAGGTGATGGACAGAGTGTTGTACAGTAGTTATACCTTAAATTAGATATATAAATCCATTCATGAAAAGTAGAGGAGCTACATTTTGGGAGGTCAAATTTTGGAGTCTTTATTGGAATGCTAGTGGTTTGCAGGCAGCCATTACAAAGACTGCAGCTTGCAAATACACTTAACACAGGAGACAGAACCATGAAGGCCAAAGAGAAAAGAAAGTACAAAAACAATACAACAAACCAAGGGATAGCTGAATTGGGACTCCGTGGTGAACAGGAGCCATTAGATGGGAGATGGACAAGGAGACCACCTGGCATAGAGTTAAGGCACCTGACTTGGATTGGGCCTATATAGGGTCAGGTCAGGGGGCAGGATTACATGAAGCTCCCAACCCCAAGCACTGGGCTGACAGGTTCAGTAACCTATAGGCTAAATCCCTGCCCATCTCCAGGGATTCAGGCATGCTTATCCGATGGGGGTGGGATGGGGGTGGGATCCCCCCCCCCCCCACAAAGAAGACAGTAGATGCCAGACCCTATCATTAACCACGTGGCCATGATGATGCTGGCCAGACCAGATCTCCCTACTTCAAGAGCACTTCTGACTTGTTGGTAGTTAACTGGATATAAGAGTCTCATAGACTTTTCTGTTTGGGCTGGCTTTGACCCAAGTTCTCAGATCTCTGCCTCCTTAGTAACTAGTGAACTACAAATGACTGTCTTCATGATGTTAAAATCTTTCATTCCCCCCCCCCCCTTCCCCTTAATTTTGGTTTTAACTCAGTGCATGCTTGCTAGCATGCTAGTCCACGGTATTGTTGAAAGTGAAAAAAGAATAGTTGCGTTCTGGATATACTTTGAAGGTAAAGTTAATGGAATTTGCTGATATTGAATACCAGATGTGAGAGAAAAAAATTAATAATGGGGAATGGTTGTATATAAACAATTCTTGTTTTATTATGTAGATTTTATTCAACAAAGTAGAATACTCAAATCTGGGGTGGGGCCGAGTAATATGCAGATAATTAAAATCACAAAGTAGATTCCTGTAGTAAGAACATTCATTATCTGAAGTATTGCCTCTTAGGGAGATGTTAACCTTTTCTTTTGATAGAGAAACATTAAGATTCCCCCTTCCATCTCTTGACAGGGTGTTCCTACCTGGCTCTCACTAATGATGGACTTTCTCTTGTAGCCTAGCCTGGCTACTTGATCCAGAACTCTTGATCTTCCTGCAGCACTACACCTGGCTCAAGAATCATTTAAGTTTTGTTGAAATATGTAAAACAGAAACTAGGAATGGTGGTGGTAATCATAATATAGCTAAGGAAATTTTTTTCATTTCCATAAATATTATTTTATATATCAGAGGCACAGAGGCATTGTGCCTTTGTGTTCTTTCCCTAAAAAACCTGTACCCTCCTTTGGTAAGAAAATATTTTTAAAATTTATTTAACAATTTCTCTTTTATTTGACAGCAACAGCTGGGATGAACACGTGTTTGAATTGGTTCTACCTAAAGCCTGTATGGTTGGACATGTGGACTTCAAATTTGTTTTGAACTCCAACATCACTAATATTCCACAGATACAAGTGACATTGCTGAAAAATAAAGCCCCAGGCTTAGGGAAAGTCAATGGTAAGAAGGGCTCAAAATTAACTTTTGAAGATTTAATCTTGTGGTTTGTTTCTTTTATTATTGCTGTTCTTGTTTTGTTGTTGTTATTTAAGTAGTTGTACACAGGGGTTATAATTTCCTAAGTTAGGTTATATGTACACAGTGGTTAGTTTGTTTAGTTTCTTTTAAGAAACCAATTTTCTTTTCTTCCCCTCCCCCCCCCCCTTTTTTTTTTTTTTGGAATTTACCTGAGGCTTGAACACTGGGCCTGAGTGCTGTCCCTGAGCTCTTTTGCTCAAGGCTAGCACACTTTGAACCGCAGTATCATTTACTGTTTTCTTGTGGTTAATTGGAGCTAAGAGTCTCATAGACTTTCTGACTAGTCTGGCTTTGAAGTGTGATCCTCACATTTTAGCCATCTGAATAGTTAGGATTACAGGCATGAGTTACCAGTGCTTGGTAAGACACTAATTTTCAACTTATTTAGGTTTTGATGTATCTTTGCTTACCTTAGTTTTTTTTTTTTAATAAAAGGTATCCAGAGATTTAGAATTACATAAAGTAATTTAATCTTGTCTTTTTGGCATGAGGTTAGTTACTTTGTGAATTAGTTATACTTTAAGCATTATTAGTGCTGTGCTTTTCTTTAAGAGGAGACCTGTTAATGAGAAATCCTCTGTTTTAGAAGTTGCTACTGTCTCAAGGTGGTTCCTGAAGTATCATGTAATGCCAGAAATATACTTTTTTAAAAAATCTTTCTTCAAGTTTTATGCGTTGAGTTATTACAATAGATTCTATACATTTTTCATGTTAAGAATGTTAATGTTACTTCTCAGAGTCCTTCCTTCCTTCCTTCCTTCCTTCCTTCCTTCCTTCCTTCCTTCCTTCCTTCCTTCCTTCCTTCCT